AGTGATGACACAAGATGACGAGACTGAATTCACGCTGTAGCTTTGTATGTATTGTACTGGTTACATATGTGATGTCAAATYGAGGCATTTGTCTGAGACATCTGTACCATCAGTCCCAACAACAACTTGGTTAACTGATGAGCTGAATGCTTTTTTTCCAATCATGTATTTTATTGATTTAAATTGTTGCAAAAGCAAAAAAAGTAGCCTCAATTGTGTAGTTATATGTGTTTACTGCCATTATAGGAGTATTGCTGYTGTTGTATTGATCATGGATCCAATGCTGTTTATTTTGCACAAGACCTGGTATCAAACTCTTTCTGGTAATTMAAAAAAGCTGAAGAATTTCATACTAGCTTGCCTTGAGAAAACGTAAACTTGAAAAAGTAATATTGCTTCCGTTTCACCAGTGCCAAGGGAAGGATGAAACTTGACTAGAGTCTCTGAATTGATCATAATGTGGTCTTGAAGAGAATCAATCATTTCTGACTTAACTGGCTGAAGACATTAAAAGAAATTGTTCTCTGAACTTTTGCAACACTTGGAGTATTACAATTTGTATATTTAACTTTGATGTGCATAAATTGAACATAATTTTAATGATTGTTTTTGATCATCAGATGAACATTTCAGCAAGAACGCTTGASAAGAAAATTGATGTCRGTGYAAAGGCAAGTAMACAATGTGGTGAATTAASCTTYTAGTGCAGYATTCCACTGAAAATTCCAATTACAAAGTTGACATTTCAACTGTCAGATATATTAGTCAACAGTGTTTTGATGTTATGTGTAAATAGATCTGAATTAGGCAAAAGTGAATATTTAAATACTTTTTATGCTAAAAGTGATATTATTAAAAAGTAATGCTAAATTTTGATAGTATTGAYACATTTTTAATTTAGAAAATTGTTTATTTTTAATTAACTTTGTCATTAGGGTGAAATATCTCACTGAGAATTTTACCAATAATGAAATATCAATTGTTTTTTCTATGATAGTGTATGAAATTATTATACAGATTATTTTTGCTTTTTGTGAAMTGAATTGAATCAAATGATCAAGTTTTTTGAAAGCTAATWTATTGGTGTTTGCATTTAGTTGTGYGAAAAGATGCTAGGTACGATAGTCTGTGATGAATGTGCAGTCTGACACCTCTTGTATGAGTGCTTGTCACAATGAACGCAATAATGCATATTGTCTGAGACTTTCTACTTACAAATTAATGAAAATTATAGCTATAAAGAAATTCTTATGAAAGTGATATTCATTTGTAGGTCTGGTATAACTCCAGAGGGTGGCAAGACTGTGCATGTAAAGTGAACCCGTGACATGACAGGAAGAACTCTAGTCTACAATGAGTAATGATGCTGTAATCCATTTTGTTGGCACATTTGGTAAGTTGAAACAATAAAACATTATGATTGTAATCACTYCTTTTACCAAATAAACTGCTTTTAGCAGAATTTTTTCTTTAAAAACTGAGTAAAATGATGATAGAAAAGTTATCCCTGTCTGAATACAGAATGTGGATAYGTCACGTCAGCCTGAATACTCTGCAATCCATTCCACCCTCACCTGTATCCCTGCTTTTCTATTTGCTAATTGACTTGATTGCAATATTGCAGTTGCTGCCATGAAATGGCTTTCATTGGTCATTCCTGGTAAGTTATATTTTCATAACAATTTCAAAGATATCTAATTATTCTGTTTTTTTGCTTTGCCAAGTGATGATGTATTCCCTGTTCGCAGTTTCCACCAGATAGGATATGCTAAACATATCTTGGTGATGGTTGAACTTCCTTGGATGTCTGATGGCATTGCTTTATATAGATCTTTTGACCAGCAATAGTAGATGATGTTTGACTAACTCAACCTTCTACTTTTAGTGTTCCCTCAAACTTTACCAAGCACAATGAAACTTKGATTAATTGTTGAGGTAAGAAATGCTTTCATTTGAGTCATATCATTAATTTTGTCAAAAATATGGATATGCATTGATTATTTCACTATAACAAAAGGTACAAAATCCTATCTTGAGCCATGCTGTGGTATAAGTGAAACCAATTTATTGTTCAGACATGTTTCTTGGAGTGTGGTATGATGATTTAATCTTTTTTCCCCAGCTTATCGACCATGGTGATACTGTGCTGTATTTTCAAGCCAATCTTGTCTGACCACACTAAATAGTTATTCTTGATGTTTAAACCAGTTTATTTTAATTGGTTTTCTTACATTGTGTATTGTTTCCTCAGAGACCTCCACTGATTGACCATAACAGTCTGCTATTTGAATTGTAAGTTCCAARTAACATGTTGAAATCAAGCCAAGTGATGATGTATTCCCTGTTCGCAGTTTCCACCAGATAGGATATGCATTGTATATCTTGGTGATGGTTGAACTTCCTTGGATGTCTGATGGCTTGTTTGTACCACTGATAGTATTTTGTACAATATTCTCAAACCCTCTTGTTTACTCTGTAGGTTGTATGGCATTTGTTGGATAGGTTGAGGGATTTCCTTCATGTCTGTTGGAGTGAGAAGACCAGTGAGCTTGCAATGACAGAAACCGTGTCTTACATAATGATTATTTAGAGATTCACAGCTAACTAGTCAGTCGTCTCACTTGTTGCAAAGGAATGGTTATCCTTAAGATGGTGAAGGAAAACTGTGCTTGAATCATGTGAGTATAAAAAGTGGCTAAGCATGTGTGCATTGCATTGTGGTATGATGATTTAATCTTTTTTCCCCAGCTTATCGATCATGGTGATACTGTGCTGTATTTTCAAGCCAATCTTGTCTGACCACACTATCTTTCTCAAACAAACTTTGTCTATCAATAAACCATATTCTAAGTTCATTTTCTTGTTTCAGATGCAAGGTTGCTAGTTGCCAAGGTTTCTACAGTCAAGCCGACAATTGCCAATGCCCTGGCTTTATATTTTGAATATGATAAATATTATTTCTATAAGATTTTGCTCATGAAAATAAATTATGTGATTTTTATTTGTAYATTATACTGTAAAAAGATCTCAAAGTTTTTTATTTTGTTTATATTTATGAGAATGATGGCRTAGAGTGAAAGCATTTAATCCATCCAATTGTATCAAATCAAAATAGCAAAACACTCAAATTGATTAAAAAGGAAAACTAAACTGAACGTTTTGGTATATATTGGTCT